ATAGTTTATACACATGACAGCATTCATGCTGCATGTGAAAGCGACCTGATCGCAGAGAAACTTGGCATGCACGGAAGGAAACACATAACGGGAAAAGCCAGTGCCTGAACAACGCTGCGAAACAGTTACTCAACGACACAAGACACGGAAAGAAAACGCAGGAACTGTCGGGTGACAGGTACATGAGAAAGCTCATAACATAGCATATGGGTAGGACGGATGACAACCTATCCGCTGATGACCAGGGTAGCAGTGATGATGATGGTCATATAAGCAACCGTTTCCGGTCAGCAATCGGCAGCTTAGCGCGCAGTCGATCGACGTGTAATTCGACGCAGTGACTGACCGTTTGATGAACGGACGAGTGACCGAGCGATGATCAATTGATCGATGAACAGTGACGCGAGTAAAGCGGCGAAACGGCACGCGCTTGCGAGCTAACTTCGGCGCTAGCATATAACGACGACGGCAAATTTAGCAAAACAAAGAATGAGTGACTTGACAGTGAGAGAATTTACCGCGCTCGCGTCGCCTGCCGCTTGGCCTTCACGAACGCGTCAGCGGCGGGTTTGCCGCATAGCGCCGCCGCGGCCGTCGTCGTTGTCTTCGTTCAAGCAACGTCGTGGTCTCCGTCCAGCAAAAGTAACAAGCGGCGTTCTGGTTGTCGTCGTTGCCTGGTCGCTTGACTTTGTTTGCAGCGCAGCACGTCACTCACGTCCTCCTCCGCCACTGTGTGTTGTGTTATGCACCGGCGATTCTACAAAGACCAGCAGCGCATCAGTCGGCGCCGCTACAACACTACGCTACAGCGTGTCCAACTGCGGTTCACGCAGGCCGCGACGCGACGCGACGCGACATTACACCAACACGTCGATACAGTTCGCGAACACGCGCACGCACGATACGATACACAGCAGCAATGGCGCAGCGGCACGCGCCGCCGCCGCCGAAGAAATACGGCGCGCAACTGAAATCGATCAATAACTACGAGCTCGAATGCGCGCGCCAATGAACGCTTGGCGCAAAAACAATCGCGGCGCGACGCACGTGACGACGAAAAAGCAACGTCGTCGAGCAGCGCGTGAATGCGCGATCGAACGCGCGCGAATACCTGCAATGCTTGATAGTGGCGGCAGGGTAGGGTAGACACGCTCAGTGACGATGATGGTGATGTATCGCCGTCGCGCACATCTGGCGAGCAATGGTTGCCAGCGGCATCGTCGAACAGGCGACGGACGAACGAATGACCACAAATAGCCGATGACCATCACCGACGCCGTCCACAAAATCGATGGCAACAACCGACAACGACCAACGACATGAATGGTT